CTTTTGTCTGAAACATTTTTCTCTAAAATGCTCCCCCGCCGAGTTATCTTGCCGTTCCGGTATTTTTGCTATACCCTGTATAGTACTATTATGTGTGTATATATATATATAATAATAAATTATAATATATATATAATAATTTAAATTGTGGGTTATACACACACACACACACACATATATACACACACACACAGAGAGGGTGTCCCGTATAAGACATCCAACAAAAAAAATATAAATAGAACAGATAAAAGTAAACAAATATTGTAGAGATCATTTTTCAAACAACCACGTAAAATTTCAAGATATTAATTAAAATAGTTGCACATATCAGAGCGCGCGATGCGACAGGCGGGACGTACAGGCTCGCCGCGGCCGGCGAAAAAAATGAACGAGCGCACATGTACACGGACGCACACACAGAGCTACCTATTTCAATATGCCAAACGGCCCATTTCTCTGGTTTATAAGATAGGCCCGCAAGCAATTATCCATTTTTTTCGCCGGCCGCGGCGAGCCGTATGCCTGCCACGTTGCCGCGCTCTGATTGGTCTAACTATTTTAATTAATATCTCGAAATTTTACGTGGTTGTTTGAAAAATGGCCTTTACAATATTTGTTCACTTTTATCTGTTCTACTTATATTTTTCTTCTTGGACGTCTTATGCGGGATACCCTGTAAATATACACACAGTATTAAGGAAATCGATTGTAATACTAATTTTTGCACATAAATGCAATCACAGTGCATTCATAAAATACAATAAAAATTATATTAATTTTTGTGTCTTCTTTTTACTTTGATCTATTCCTTTTATCATTTTACATACATACAAGTACCAACGTAAGATTATCACAAAAAGTATCAGCCTAAAATATGAAATATCTTGAAAAGTATTTATTTTTTACCTTTAACAAATTTACAGGTCAACAAGTAGAATAAATCTATATAAAAAATATATAAACATTAAATGATTCTATCTAAAAAATAAGGTTGATTTTTAAATGATTGAAAATAATTTTAAGGAAAAAGTTGTTTGTACCATATAATATGCCTCTTCAAATAGTGGAAGTTCTTTTAGATATTTCTTTTTCTTTTTAAACTAAATAGACATATTTAAAATTCTATTTCTTATGATTCGCCATGTATATCTCTTATCTTTCCTTCAGCCATGATTTATGACTATTCGCTTTTCTGTTGTATTATATCGGATGATTCCAAGTTGAACTTTCCACCTGTATGACATTTGAATACGTCTAATTAAGTATTTGTCGGCGGCCACTTTTATACCGCTTAGAATTTCTACTTGGTCCAAGATTTCTATATCGAAACATGGCATGATGAGAAAGTAGTTTTACGATTTTGTACTTGGCAATAATACATCAATGACGTATAATACGGTAATGACGTATAATACGTCAGATTAAAAAGTGTGCGTGGTACATGGTGACGTAGCTGTTGACAACTCAATGTAAATGCTTTTGTTACTTATTTTTACAAAATTTAATCTGATCATCAATTTTCATTTTTTCTTGTTGAATAAACAAGGGCAAGGAGTAAAGTGTTGAATCACTATCGCGAGATATCTTTATCTTTAACGTTTATAAGTTTTAACGTAGAATTGCTTATTGTGAAGTCTTTATTTTGTCTGACGATTGTTAAAGATAAAGTAAAATATATTGCAGAATCAAGATAAGGATGATATAAAGGTGTCGAAAAATTAACAATTACAAACATAAATTCTGTAAGAATCGTTGAAAATACATGATGATAAAAACTATTCTTAAAGTTAACGAAATAACTGTATAGTACATATACACATACGCGCGCGCGCGTCTACACACACACACACACGATACACATCACATCACATACACACGCCCACGCACGCACGCACGCGCACATACGCTGCACATAGGATGTTTATATTGAAAGTGTTAATTTTTACTTGTAATCAGCATTTTTAGTGTATAATTCGTATCGTGGGAGTTGGTGACGTCTACTACACGGCTATCTTGTGACCGTTGTTCAACGCATGTTACTCATGTAGTCATGAGTTCATTACGATATGATTATGTTGACGCTATTATGTGCGTGTAAATTTTAGATTAAAAGAGAAATGAATTTGGATCTCTGATTCAAGTATGTCTCGTACACTAAATAAACAAATGCCGTAAAGTTCTATTCCGTAATAAATTTTCGTTGAATCTGACACCTGATTTTACAAAATTAACGCTTTTGCATTCTTGTACATATTCTATTTATATGTTTTTAGGTTCTTTTGATATTATATAGAAAAACTAGTATATTGCACACATATTGCGCGCATGCGCGCGCGCAAACACACGTACACACAATTGTATAAAAATGCCGTATGTGGCTGTTATTCTCGAAATATAATAAATAATTATAAGTTTGTTATTTTATTACATGTGTGTGGCTGCAAATCCATGAGTTCACCTGATTCAATTATTACATAATATTACATTTCTTTTTCTATTAATAACTATAGTATATATATATACTATATATACATACATATATATATATATATATATACATATATATATATATATATATATATATATATATATATATATATATATATATATATATACACACACATATATATACATATAGTGAATGTAAATCAATTATTATATAAATATAAATCTATATACAGAGTATCCCAGATCACCATACTCAAACTTTGTGAAACCATAGAACGAATTGAGGTGAACATAAAAGTCTCCGTTTTGCGTTTTTCGCAATAAATCTTGAGATATTAATTAAAGAAGATAAGTAAATAATTACATGCGATATGGTAGATGAGCTATAGTGGTGATATATGCTGTTGTGTATTTGCACATTAAATCACATTGAACAAAAATATCTTTTATAATTTTGCGAATACCCATGTAAATTTTTAATTATTCTTGAAAGAAAATTGTTACATGATTGTACACGATAATGCACAAATTTTCTTTAATTAATATCTAAAAATTTATGTGGTCATTTGCAAAATAGTAAAGAATATTTTGTTAAGTTTGACCTAATGTATAAATATATAATAATTGACATTGCAGCTTATCTACCATATCATGTCTGATCATTTACTAATCTTTAATTAATATCTCGAGATTTATTACGAATATCGCAGAACGGTATGAGACTTTTATATTTACCACAATCCGTTCTACGCTCTCATAAAGTTTGAGAATGGTGATTTGGGACAGATCATATATATATTTTGAGCAGAGGGGATGGCCGGTTTGACGAAAAATGTCTCGTGTGTGTGTGTGTGTGTGTGTGTGTGTGTGTGCGTGCGTGCGTGCGTGCGTGCGTGCGTGTGTGTGTGTGTGGCGCGCGTGTGCGTGTGCGTGTACAATCATGTAACAATTTTCTTTTATGAATAATTAAAAATCTACGTGGGTATTCGCAAAATGATAAGACATTTTTATTCAATGTGATCTAATGTGCAAATACACAACAGCACATATCACCACTACAGCTCATTTACCATATCTTATGTGATTATTCACTTATCTTCTTTAATTAATATCTCAAAATTTACTGTGAAAAACGCAAAACGGTATGGGACTTTTATGTTCACCTCAATTCGTTCTCACGGTTTCATAAAGTTTGAATATGGTGATCTGGGATACCCTCTATCTCAGAACCTTTCTTGACACAATTCGCAGGAAAATAGACTGGATTAAACGGAACAGAAAAGTCAAATACTATTTTGCGAAAGAATAGTTTTCGAGTAATTAATTATTTCGTCTGAACAAATTAACGTTCGGGCCAACGCGCGACCATGATACACGCGAATCGCGGCTTGCTGCGTTCCTCCGCGCATAGCTACGATGGATGCGTTCGGGGAGCACGCTACTAACTCTACCGCTTTCTTCTGTCTTTATTGTTATTGTTCCTTAGATATACAACAAAGATAGAACGACACGATAGCGCTGAATAGCACTAATAGCGAGCTCCCCGAACACACTTGATGTGTCTCGTAGCTATAGTTACCATAGTAACGAGACACAACGTAGCTATGCGCGGAAGGACGCAGCAAGCCGCGATTCGCGTGTATCATGGTCGCGCGCTGGCCCGAACGCTAATTTGTTCAGACAAAATAATTAATTACTCGAAAACTATTGCGACTTTCGCAAAATAGTATTTGACTTTTCTGTTCCGTTTAATCCGTTCTACTTTCCTACAAATTGTGTTAAGAAAGATTTCGGACACCCTGTATGTATATATAGGGTGGGCCATTTTATTCAATACACGCAAAAATCTCAAAAAGGAGAAATTTTTCCAAAAAATGTTTCAGACAAAAGTTGTCGGGTTCAGAGGAAGACATCTGAAGGTGACCTTAACTTTGACCTCGGAGCTCATTCTAAAGGTTGTCCGAAAGTCAACTTTGCATTTTAAATAGAAACATTAATTTTTTCTTATAGAATTTTATTCTTTGTGAAGAAACTAATAACTTTGTTTGAACGAATTTTTCGTACGATCTGCATTTTTTAATATATTTACGGAAATAATTACAAAATTATTGGTTTCAATACTTTTCTACTCGAATTTTATCAACTTTACCGAAAAATGGTAAGAGATAAAAATTGTTTATTTTCTTCTCATAAAGCTCCGGGAATTTTTTCAGAATTTTTTAGTTAACTTCTTAGTAGTGCATTTTCTTGTATTTCCTTGAAGTACTAAAAAGTGTATAAAAAA